TCTTTGTGAAGGGTGTGGGTAGTGTGTGGTGACTTTAATGTCATCAAATATCCATCAGAAAGAACAAATTGTTCATCAATCAGTGGGGTATGCCAGAATTCTCTAATTGTATCGAGGAGGTGGAGCTTATAGACCCTCCTTTATTTGGACAGTCTTTCACTTGGAGAAGAGGAGAGAACCATACAACTGCATCAAGGATTGACATAATAATGTTATTCTTCTCAATGGGAGGAACTCTTCACCCTCATTAGACAATCAACTCTTCCAAAGTTGGTATCTAATCATAACCCAGTTCTATTGACTTGTGGAGACATGAACTTCAAGAAGTCATAGTTCAAACTTGGAAACTGGTGGATGGGGCTTGAAGGCTTCAAGGAGAAAGTGAGTTTCTAGTGGTCATGATTTGTTGTTATTGGTACAACAGGTTTTGTCTTAGCTGAAAATCTGAAACTCCTAAAAAGGTAATTAAAGGAATGGAGCAAGAATAATAGGAGCAATTGGAAACAACCAAAGGAAGAAAACCTTGACAAATTGTCCAAATGGGAGATCCTTCAAGAGCAAAGACCACTTACAAACGATGAATTAATGCAAAAAAAAATTAAAAAAAATTGGCAATGTCTTTTGAAGATGTTGTCAAAAATGAAGAGATTAGGTGGAGACAAAGATCCAAAAGACAATGGTTGAAGCAAGGGGATAAAAACACTAAATTTTTCATAGAATAGCTACACCTCGCAAAAGATGCAACACCATAGAATCCTTGAAGGTGGAGGGAAGCAATGTCACTGATCCTACTGATATCAAGGAGGCCATCAAGAGTTTCTACGAAAATTTGTACAAGGAGACAGAAGTTTGGAGGCCAGAATTACAATTATAGCAGATTTCTTGTATTAATGAGGATGAAGAGGAAGAGTTACATAAACAAATTGAGGAGGATATTCTAGGATGCATTAAACTTTGTGCGATGGAGAAAGCTCTTGGGCCCGATGGTTTTCCCATGTCCTTTTATCTTATATTCTGGGGAGTAATGAAAGAAGACATCAAGGTATGATACATGAGTTCTATAATAATCAAAGGACTAAGAGAAGTTTCTATGCAACTTTTGTAGCTCTCATCCACAAGAAAGTAGGTGCTTCTGAATTGAAGGACTTCATACCTATAAGTCTAATCATAGACATATACAAGATGTTAGCAAACATACTAGCTAAGAGACTGAAAAAGTTAGTGGATAAGTTGGTCAACAAGCATCAAATGGCCTTCATTAAAGGGAGATAGATAATGGATGTTGCACTTCTAGCTAGTGAATGTGTGGATTTGAGCCTGATCTAATGTGCAAATTGGACATTGAAAAGGCATATGATCATGCAAATTGGAAGTTCTTGCTAAACGCTCTGGAGAAAAGTGGTTGGGTTGGATTCATTTCTGCATCAACACTGTCCGTTTTCTATTCTGGTGAATGGTGAACCAGTGGGCTTCTTCCTTTCAGAAAGGGGACTTAGACAAGTGACCCCTTATCCCTCTTTCTATTTATCTTTGCAATGGAAGGTTTTGATAGCTTGATGAGAATAGCAATACACAACAGATGGATCAAAGGTTTTCAGATACAAGGTAGCAGTGAACAAGTTAAAGAAATTTGTCATTTGCTATATGGAGATGACACTATCATTTTTTGTGAACCTCGGGAGGACCATATAAGATTCTTAAAAACAATCTTACTATTTTTTGAAGCTTCCTCGGGTCTGTAAGTGAATTGGGGGAAAATCAATTTATTTCCAATCAAGGAGGTGACCAACATTTTGAATCTGGCAGATACTTTGGGGTGCAAAGTGGAGAATATGCCAATAGTTTACTTAGGTATTCCTTTGGGCAACGAAAACAAGAGCATACAAATTTGGGATGTCATTGTGGAGAAAACATAAAGGAGATAAGCAAGATGGAAGGCTCAATATTTGTTTATGGGAGGCAGACACACTTTCATCAATTCAGTGCTGGACAAATTAAGGAGGGACTTTCTTTGGCATGGATGCAAAGAAATTAAAGATTATAACCTAGTAAAATGGGAGATAACCTTGAAAAGTAGAGACAAAGGGGGTATGGGTATTAGAGATTTGAGGAAACAAAACAATAGTCTTTTTATGAAGTGGTTATGGAGGTATAATGAAAAGGGGCAAGCCTTATGGAAGGATGTCATCAGATCCTAGTATGGTGAGTACAATCCTTGGTGCAATAATGTTAGTGTTGATGCCTATGGGGTGGGGGTATGGAGAACTATCAGAAACTTATGGCAAAAACTTGAAGCTAATACGTACATTGAAGTGGGAGATGGCAGGAGAACTAAGTTTTGGATGATGCGTGGTACAAACATAATCTTGTAAAAGAATCCTTTCCAGATTTGTTATTACTATATAATAATCCATATGCAAATATCAATGAATGCTGGACATTACAAGGATGGGATTTGATCTTCGGAACATTTTTGAATGACTGGAAAGTGGAGAGAGTGGCCAAATTGTTAGAGCTATTAGAAAAATTCTCTGGCATCACTAATGGTCCTGGCTCTTTGAGATGGAAACATAGTAAAGATGGGGTTTTCACGGTTAGCAGGGCATACAAAATGGAAAGTCTCCAGTAACGCATGAAGTGTTGTGGAGAAAAGGAAAGATTATAGTATCTTGGTGTTCATTATGCGGGAAGGCAACAAAGACCAGCCAACATCTATCCTTGCATTGCAACTTTACAACACAAATTTGAGTCATCTTCCTTAGTCTCACAAAGACAAACTAGACCTTGCCCGAGCATACTGCAGACTTGTTGAGTTGTTGAATAAGGAGGAGAGCAAGAGCCAAAAGGCATGATGGAGTATAATTCCACATTGCATTTGGTGGACAGTATGGAAAGAAAGAAATAGTAGAAACTTTGAGGATAGGTCCAATTCCATTTAGAAGGTTAGATGGGATTGCATTGTATCCTTTTATTTTTGGTGTAAAGAGAAGGGTTTAGAGGAAACATAACAAATTGTAGAATTATTAGGATCCTTGTAAGTATTTTTTTTTTTCTTTTTTGGTTCCCCTTTGTTTGCAGGTCACCAGCATATCCTTAATGCTGAAGAATACAACATTACCATTTTTTCTTTTTAAAAAATCTTGCTTGGCATTGCCCACGCTATGCCTCTAAAATTGATGAAAATCTTCCATAGTTGATAGGTGATACAGTGTAGGAAGAAGTGATTTATTGTCTCAACTTCCTTTTCACATAAGAAACATCTTGAGCATAGTGACATCTTCCTCTTCATCAAATTCTCATGATTCGGAACAACTTTTTAGTTAGAAGCCAAGTAAAGCATGCAACCTTATACGGATCATGGTCTCTTAGATCTATTTCCAAGGCCAAAAAGTATTCATTGGTTCTATCCGATTCAACAACTTATACCCAGAGCTGACTTTATAAAGTCCTTTAGGGTGTTCATTCCACCACAAACAATCTACTCCTTGCTTCCCTTGAAAGTTCTCTAGCTGTTTGAATAGTTCAACTGCTCTTAGGATCTCCCAATCATTCATCCCTCTTCTGAATCTCATATCTCATCCTTGTTGAGTCCACATCTCAACTATTGTGTTGTGTTGATCTTGGGTACGGTCAAAAAGATCCGGGAACAATTCTTGCAATGCCTTGTCCCTATCCATTTATCTCTTCTAGAACCTGGTCCTGACTCCATTGTGCTCTCTGATCATCGAGTGTTTTGTAAGAAAAGGCCAGAAGACCCTGATGGATCTCCACAAGTTGACCCCATATGCAGTGGTGACCTCCTTGGATACCCAACAATCTTCTTCCGCATACTTGCTTTTTATGACATTACCCCATAGGGTCTGAGGCTCTTGTGCATATCTCCATAACCATTTGATCTTAAAATCTTTGCACTGGTGTTTCAATTTCCGGATGCCAAGCCCACCTTGTTTCTTACTCCTAATAATGTCCTTCCATTTGACTAGGTAGAAAACTTTTTTTTCCTTGTTTCCTGGCCATAAGGAGGACCTTTTGATCTTGTCTAGTCTCTGAACAACACTTGAAGGAAATGGGAATAGTGATAGCATGTAAGTTGGTAGTGCATCTAAAATTGCATTTACTAGTGTTTATAGACATTTAATCCTAAACAAAACAAATCTAGGAAAAGTACGATTTAACTTTTACGACTCATGATGTACGGACCATAGTTCCTTGTAAAACTCGTGGAAGGTGGTGAATAGTCAATCTTCGGGACATTTTCTACGGATTAGAGTTACAGTCCAGGTACAATTCATCCTGGCCAGTCGTGGTCAGAGTCCTCGACCTTCAATTCTCTGAAAGTCATCTACGAACATCCCTACACGACTCGTAATATGTCGTCGTAGTCGGGGAGTTCACCTTTTCAAAATACTTCCTTCCACGATTGTTGATCTAAGACTCGTACAACAGTGTACGACTCGTACTCCCTATACTGAAGTTTAATATCTCAGAACTCATCGACAAATCCATTTATGGCTTGTGGAAAGGACCACGGCTCGTAGTAAGGCTCATAGATGGTCAGAATGCACCTGCCAACATTGTCTTATTCTAGGCTGCCAAAATCTATTTTCCTGCAATTCAAAAATAAAACACAATCAAATCTACTAACAAATGCTTAAAAAACTCAAAATCTCAAGTATAAAGTATTATAAGTACTGTAAATCCACGGTACATCAACGTGAACAAAAACCATGAAAGACCAAGGTTCAAATCACACTAGAGATGGGAAATGCTGAGGTGATGTTTTTCCCTTCGCTAGTCTTTGTCAGATAGGAGGTACCCAATGGAATAGTTCAAGTGTGCACAGAATATTCTGGACCACTTCTATTGAATAAAGAAGGATAATTGTACTATTGTTGTTTCTTTGAATTTCCACAGCCAATTGTTCTCTTTATTTTGATGATAGTCACTGGACGTGTCAAAATTTGTGAATTTATGTTGAAAAGTTATTTTGGACTTTTCAGGGTTCCCCATTACCAACACTGCTTGATGATGATATGGCATCCTTAATTGATTTTGGAGTTGGCAATGGATCAACAATTCTTGTGGAAGAAGAGTGTTAGAAGTCGTTTCTCTTGGTAGGGAGTAGAGTATTATTTAGTAATATGTTTGGTAGAAATTTTGGGTCTATGTATAATTAATTCATGGATTAGTTATATACTCTACATGGTATTATATGATGTATAACTAATATCTTTTATTTGGTGGTATAAGTAATACAAAAGATTTAGTACAATGAGATTAACATTTATGTAAAAATAAAAATATCCCTCAAATTATTTTAATCATTTTGTTTATTTTCTTGATTTTATGTTTTATATTTGTACTAGTAAACTTATTTAAATTGAGAGAGTTGTTTGTTGCTAAATAAATCAAATACAAATATATTTAGAAAATCATTTGCTAAATATATATATGGTTTTCTAATTATTTGTATTTTGAACAATTTATAAAATTACATACGTTTTATAATTACAACTTGCAATTTTAATGTGTAAATGTAGATGATTAGTTTGATTTTATTGTTTACCGTCTTTTCGGTTTTAAAAGTAGATGGTCTATCTTTTTAAAATTAAAATGGACGTTTTGTAAGTGATCAACTTATTAAGATGACAATTACCCTCAAATAATTCAAGTGAAAAAACATGGCAATAAAAGTGTTCTCCTCCTAGATAGTTAGAAGGCCATAAATAAAATAATAGTCTTACAATTATCTACATTGATCCAATTATATAATAATTCAAGGGTATAATTGGAAATAAGTTTCTTTATAGAGTTTAATTCAAACACAAGATGAGATGTGAAGCAATGAATCAAATTCTTGATAAAAAACAAACCATGCATTACTAATTCCTGCATTACTAATTCTTCCGTTGCTAATTTCCGCTTTATTTATCTTTGTACCAAATGGCCTCTTTATGTTATAAGAAATTTTGCAAGTTTTGAGTGCATCTTCGTCACTCAATATACATTCTTGAAATCACTTCGAAATTTGAGAATGTCCTTTTTAACGCTTTTATTCTAAATTTGTGCTCCAAAAATGTTTCATGAGCGAACTCTCTCCCTTCTTCCCTTTACATCTCTCTCAAAGGTAATTGTACCAATTGCAGGATGTTTGGTTGGTCTTTTAGCTAATACATGCAGACGATGCTTTTGTGACACTACAATATACCATCACTAATTGTCAGAATTTGGAATAATGTTTTTAATAACGAAAAGAATAACAAAAAGACTCAAGTGAATCAAAGTGCAAGCTTCTTTCAAATGCGGTGCACATCTTACCAATAATTCTGGATAATTTCAATAATTTTTTATTTTCAATTTAGTAATGATAACAAAGATAGCTCAACTTAATAACTAAAACAAAATTTCAGGCGTTGAATGAGAAATAACAAAACGATACTCAAAACAAATTCCTTGATCATTGGCAAGATATGTGCAAGATTAAGGGGCAATGTGAGTATTATCCTTCAGCTTTAAGTATATGTTGTCTAGGGCAATGTGATTGTGTCAAAACAAGCAATTGAGATGGACTGTGGGATGACGTTCAATAAAAAATATGTGAGTATCAAGAAATTGTCACAGACTGACAATGATAACTTATTTGTCACAGCCAAAACAGGCAATTAAGATTTTGCTCACGTTTGTGCGATTCATTATTTTTCAAGAAAAGTATTTCACTCATAATAAAGCGATTTGTACACTAGCAATTTACTTATTATTATTATTATTATATTATTATTATTTATAAAAGTCTTTCGTTATTTTATTGCTAGACAATAAGCATTTTTATTTATTTATATAGTTGAGTGTTTGCCCTATCTATTCATGATTAGTTTCATTTATTCACTTTACTCAAAAATTCATTCATTCTTCTTACTCAAAAATGCATTCATTCACCTTATTAAATAATTCAATGTCATTCATTCTTCTAAAAAAAATCAATATTTAGATTGTTGTATTTTAATTTTGTTCATTCAAAACAAAATAGATGATACTAAAGTGAGTAAATTTATAATGGGACGATAATATTGTGCATGAAGGTGGTTCCATAAGATACAATCGACGTCTTGTTGTAGTCCAAATATTTTTCTTATCTCTTAAATATGAGCGTTTGCAACGCTTATTAAGGAACAAGATGGGTATATATATATATATATATATATATATATATAAAATTACCTAATACATAATTATTTTATCATATTTTCTAAAATTTCCTACCATTTGAAAAAACTACAAAAATTTATGCTCTTTCCTATTCTCGTGTACATCACTTTTTATGCGATATATCAATCAGATATATCAGTTTACGCGATGTATCAAGACGTTGAGTGATGTATTTGAAATCGAAAAACGATGTATCAGAACGTTGAGGGATGTAACCAGAACCGAAATGCGATGTATCGAAACATTTTCGGATGTATCCGAATTTCATCAAATTCAAGAATTTTTTGTAATTTGAAAAAGTATAGGGATATGATGTAATTATCTCTTAACACTATGAGATTTGTGTAAAATTTTCATAAGATATTTACTAGACAATATCCAACTTACTTTACATCCAATGAACTTCTAATGTATGATGAAACATGTATTCGGAATGATGATTCCTTATCTTTATTTATTCGTAGTGTTGAAATTTTCGTTGATCTAATTAAAGGATGCTTGAAAAATTGAGCGTTGTTCTATTGTTCAAGAATCTATTGATAATGAGTTTGATCTTCGTGATACTACATATTCAAATTTATAAATTGATATTTCAAGGAATGCAATCTCAGAACAAATTGTGGCAGAAATTGAAAGACAATCACAATATAAGCTTTGGATTGGAGTGTGCTTGATTACAATATGTGGAAGCCTAGCAATGCTCTCATGCACTTGAATAGTTTGAACTCGAGTGATAGACAATGTCCATTTCCATCGAAGTCAACTGATGGATAAATAAAGTGATAATTTATTTATAATTAAAATTAAACTAATCTTATATGCGATATATTTATATTTTATATTTTATAGGTGTAATGAATCAATGTACAGAAATTGTGAACAATAATGATACAAGTGATGATCTAGTTGGACGGTTGGATAATGATGAAGCTTCGAAACATGTATGAATCAACAAACAATGATGGAACGTCTGATGGTTATAATGATGTCAATCGAGATAGTGCACCCCTTAGAATTCAAAACGTTTATTATCATTCTACTATGATTTCATACTTATATCACATTAAAAAAAGCACATAAAATTTTATGTGCACAAGAAACGTTGGTTCTATCTGAACTGCACTCGGAAATCCCAACAATTCTGAATTTATCTAGCCAAATTAGGCTGTTGCAATCTTAATTTTTTTATTGTATTTTAAAAAAAAATTGTTAAATAGCTTAATGCAGTTTTATATATGTAACTAGTTATGCTATTTATAAATAAGAAGCAAATGAAATCTGCTGTAAGAGTATAATTTTACAAAAGAAAAAATGAGTTTCTTTGTGATCAATCTAAGAGTATGAATAGGAGGGTTATTTGCAAGTGTTATTAGTTGAGATGTAAGAGGATGATTCACTTTAGAGATATTTTAAGTGGTATGTGGAAGACATAAAAAATAATTAAGCCACATACTTTTCTGACGAATAACTACAAGGAGAATCATTTTAATTTGAACAATAACATGATTGTCACTTCACTGATTCCATATATTATGTAAAATTGTGATATAAATATTAATATGATCCGTGAAATCATTAAATGAATACATCATTTCACTCCTAGTTATAAAAAATCACAATCAGATTGGAGAAAGCATTTCAAATGGTTGATGGCGATTTTGAATGTTCATTTAGGGCATTACCTTGATACATGGTTGCACTACAATTGTTTAATCCAAACACTATAATTTAGTGAGAGCACCATTCTACAACAATTCAAGGAGAGCAAATCTTTGATTTTTTAAAACTTTTAAACCAAGCATTGATGGTGTCAAAAGTTGCAGGCCTGTCATTTCGATTGACGACACACATCTTTATGATTTGTATGATTTGAAACTATGAATTGTGGTTGATATTGATTCTAATGAAAATATTTTTTCACTTGCATATGCTTTAGTGGCACATGCGAGTTTTGAGTCTTCATCATGATTTTTCAAGTTATTGTTGGGACATGTTGTTGTGAGCGACAAGAAATTGGTCTCATTTCTGAACATCATTAAGAAATTTGGCAATGTGTTTAATCTTATTCTACCCAACACATACCACATATTTTATGTTCAACACTTAAAAGTGGAAATGTCCATTATTGGAGGTGATAATGCCAATCATATTACATTATCGAAGGTGGTAATGTCTATTATCCAAGGTGATAATGTTCATATTACATTATCGAAAGTGGTAATGTTCATTATCGAAAGTGGTAATGTTCATTATCGAAGGTGATAATGTTCATCATATTACATTATTGAAAGTGATAATGTCCATTATCGAAGGTGGTATTGCCAATCATATTACATTATCAAATGTGGTATTGTCCATTATCAAAGGTGGTAATGTCAAACATATTACATTATTGAAGGTGGTAATGTCCATTACCAGAGATGGTAATTTCAATCATATAACATTATCAAAGGTGTTAATGTCCATTACCAGAGATGATAATGCCAATCATATTACAGTATCGAAGGTGGTAATGTTCATTACCGGAGATGATAATGTCAATCATATTACAGTATTGAAAGTGGTAATTTCCATTATCAGAGGTGATAATGTTCATTATATTACATTATCGAAAGTGATAGTGTTCACCATATTACATGTCCGGATGTGGTAATATTATTTCCCGAGGTAGTAATGTCAATCATATTACATTATCAGATGTGGTAGTATTCATCAATGATCATATTATATTACCGGAGGTGGTAATGCCTATTGTTGAGAGGGCCATTTCATGTTGATCTCATCGAAGAGAACCATCAACATTTTCCAGTGCCGAAGACGTCCAAAGGGCATACATAAGAGTTCCTTGTAATAGATCTTCACTCGTCCTACTGATGGAATGCATTTATATCCTACCGATGTA